GCCACATCAAAGGGCTTAGCTATACAGCATGTATGGGAAAGAGATTGTGAACTTGATGAGGATATCATGAACTGGGGTAGAACATGGCAGAACGTTCTTACTTCATCAAGAAATCCAAATCACCAACTGATTCATTTTAACTTTTGTCACAGAACTTATTGGACCCCACTGAAAAGACATCGTATTGACTCTTCATTCAGCCCCTTCTGCAATAACTGTTCTGATCAACAACTTGGAGCTTTTTTTACACATGATGTGGGAATGTGAAAAGGTCAAAGAATTTTGGAATGCAGTATGTTCTGCCTTATCAAAAATTATTGAGTACCCTATACCGGTGAATTACTATTGAATGACAATTCTGCGTTGAGCTTTTCTAAGTTGCAAAAAATGGTTTGGCTTGCCGGTTTGACATCTGCAAAAGAATTGTTAGCACAACACTGGCTCCCTCCACATACTTTGGATACGTACAAGTGGCTGATGCAACTTCAAGACATTATTATGTTAGAAATAGCCACGGCTCGGGTGAATATGGCACAACTTTCTACATTACAGACCTGGACTATAGCTGCTGAGAAGATATCCAAATATATTGCACAGAACAATGACTTGGACTTAGAATGATGTGGGTGGTTTTTTTTCTTCTTCTTTAACTGAAATCCATGTTTCCTGATCCCTGTGACTTGTTCTGTTAACTCCATTATGTATTCAGTGTGCTCCCCATTGTAAAGAGACCGCAGGGTTAAGATGGGAGGGAGGGCTGGGTGATGTTGAATTGAGACGTTACTTTGCTTTCATTCTGACTTGTTTGCAAATTTAAAAAAAACAAATGCATGTGATTCTCACTTGCAAAATTAGACAAAGACAGTTTAAAGAGACAGTATGACACTCTGGTCCCCAGATATGGCTTGAGTTCCTCTAATATTAGTCTATGCAAGCATTACTAACAATGCATATTTTATGCAATCACATGCACGCCAAACTAAAGTTTACAAAGGTAATACTCACCATAATCATATATTTTATAATGCGGCTGGTGGCGACGGTGTACTCCTCTATTAACTCTGCCAAATAATACAGGCCTGCAGCTGTAAAGACAAATAGCAAATTGAGAAAAACTACAAACAGACTGTATACGTATCACTTCACTTAAAGCCTTTATGTATAATGCATTATAAAGGTATTCACCGATAGCGAGAGTAACGAAACATATCTGCACCACCAGCGACAACCAGCTGAGTAAATAAATAAACCACATCTTTTTAAAAGGGCTAGTCGAACAAATACGGGACTGGTAAACAATAAAGGAGATATGTGTCTCCGCTGCTAGGCTAACAACTGAGGTGGTCAAAGTTTCTTCTGAAGCTTCTTCAGACGTAGCGCGCAGCTGATGTGGGAGTCTGATCACAAACAGCGCCACTCAGGCTGGAGGAGGTATTGCACCGGTGAAATAACCTGAGAAATAACGCAAATGAGAGTAATGAGAATTGTGTAGTAATTCTAGAAATATTAATCAAATTAAAAATAAAATAAAAAATCTGTGTACATAGATTCCAGCTCTGCTCACTGCGAACATTTTCTGAACCAATTAGGTGCATTTATAAATTAAATTAAATTAAATTAAATAATAATATTAAATTAAATTAAATAATTAATAATGTAGTGATTCTAAAAAATATTAATCAAATAAGAAAATGTCCAGATCAGCTCTGTGAATGCACCAATTAGGTGCATTTATATATCAAATCAAATCAAATTAAATCTGTCTAGAAAGAGTCAAGCTCTGCTAATGCACCAATTAGGTGCATTAATAAAAATAATAAATAAAAAAATAAAAAAATAAATTAAATAAATAAATAAATAAATAAATAAAAAACTAATAAAATAAACTGAAAATTAAAATGAAAACTGAAAATATAAAAATTTAATCTACTTCAAAATAATAATGAATACTATAATAGTATATACACAATGCTAAAATAACCACGCATTCAATTACGTACTCCATTTAAAATGCTTTTATCAAAGAATGGGAGTGTGGAGGTCTTTGGAGAAAAGGCTGCCCTTTTCATTCCAGGTATTTCCAGATGGACGGATAAACTCACCTAAAGGCTTTGACACTGACAGCACATACAGCGACTTAGAAATATATTCGGATACTTACCTAATATGGCTGTTTTTTTACAGTTTTTATTTTTAAAATTAATAACAATCAATAACAATTTATTTACACAGACATTATGTAAAAATTTTTTTTACCAAAAACATCATATTATTCAGCCATGGTAGCTTAAAGTCTTTTAGGTTAAGTTGGCTGTTAGCTTTACACACTGTTGCATAAGTATTTGACCCCCATGTGTTGCAAGAGAAGGCCCATTTTTACTATTTGGATAAAAACTCCTCAGTTATTATTGCAGGAAACTGATGCAAGACAAGGGAAACGTGAAAGCATGTCTGGAGAAGAGTGACAATTTATTTTGGCATAATCCCAAATACAAGGCCAAAATAACAAAGTTATGGGTCAAAAATGACAAGATGGACTTGACTACTTTGATTAGAAGCCTGTATCTCAATCCAAATGATTGCTATCGTTGGAGTAAATCTCACTAACCTGAACCAATTTACCAAGAATGGCGCACAATTACCCCTAATATATTGAGATACCTAATATTACTGCTTTTACAGTTTTCATTTTAAAAATGAGTAGTTCTCTAAAATGATCTTTGTTTCATGACATTGTTTTATGTTAAAAATGACTAAAAATAGCATATTTTCCAGCTTTAGTAGCTTAAAGTAGTTTAGGTTTAATTAACTTTACATACAGTATTTGCCCCCCATGTGTTGGAAGAGATGGCCAGACTTTTCGGATAAATGCTCCTCAGTTATTATTGCAGGAGAATGACTTTTCAAAAAAGGCAAACATGAAAAAGCATCTCTGGAAAATGGCGAAAACTTATTTTGCCTTTCTTCAAATCAATAATCCCAAATTCAGAGTTAAATTAACAAGGTTGTGGATCAAAAATGACAAGATGGACTTGATTACATTGAGCCAAAGCATTGATCTCAGTCCAAATGAAATTCTCTGGTATTATATTAACATTGCAGTAGAAACCTGAACAACAAATCTACCAAGAATGACACACTATAAAACCCAGCAGGGTGCAATGCTGGTTTTATGAATATAAAACAATGTCACGTTAAAATAATTTAGAATTTTAATGCTTTAAAAATGTCAATGTCTGATTTGTAATTCAGCAAAACGAGAGAACCGATCAAAAGTCCAAATACTTGTGCATGTCAAGCATTCAAGAAATTCAATCTTTTAATGGAAGAATTCACACCTCAAAAGCACAAATGTCCAACACAACAGCAAACGCAGAATGAGTGCAAAGAAAAGACAGTGAGTATGTGCAGAAAGAATGTCTTTTATTTCTTTCATAATTCACTTTTGAATGCATGGGTCCTTGGTTTTTTCATCGCACAGTTAACAGGGTTAACGCTTTATTCAGCTTCGTGACATTTACTTTAAACAAATTCCAAGCGGCATCTGGCAGAAGGAAATAGGTGTTGAAGTCATACTTAGTTCAACATCGCGTTTCTCAAAAGTGCAGAAGGTCAGACTAAAAGACCCTCAAAACTCACTTTTCTTCCCATATAATGGACTCTGAAGCCTTTATGCGAGAGATTCTCTTCTCACGGTTCTGCTGAAGTCTCCGGAGCACCGGGGCGCTTCCACTCTCCCCCGCCCAGGGCGAAGAGCTCGAGACGGACACGGCTGCGGGTGGATCTGCGAGTGGGTGAGGAAACATCGACTTTAAGATGCAGCTCGCACAAACATTCATAACCAATCAATAAATGAAGAGGCTGCTTTTAAAGGGATAGTTCACCCAAAAATGAAAATTTGATGTTTATCTGCTTACCCCCAGGGCATCCAAGATGTAGGTGACTTTGTTTCTTCAGTAGAACACAAACGGAGATTTTTAACTCCAGCCGTTGCAGTCTATCAGTCGTCTGAAGAAACTCACCTACATCTTGGATGCCCTGGGGGTAAGCAGATAAACATCAAATTTTCATTTTTGGGTGAACTATCCCTTTAAGCGCCACTGTGAAAAAACCAATTTGGCCAATAAATCTGATAAAAAAATTTAAAAAACACACACAAGCCACTACTAAACTACTAATCAAAAATCTTTTTTATCACAAAATGTATCTTTTTACAGTAAAAAAATATCTACAAATTGTAAGATAACTTCTACTGAGAAGCAAAACTGCATATTAAAACTTGTTTTCAGAGAGTGTGTTTCAAGTAGATTTTTTAATAAATTTTTTTCAGTTACTTTAAGCATAAACCTTATATGGGTCTAATATTTTAGTTCTTATTTACTTATAAACAGCTCTGCCATTTGGAGGTTTAGCCTACTAATGAATACTAGATAAATTAAGTTTTTTAATGTTTTGTGTCTTTTTCTTTTAGATAAGTTAGTCAGTTAGAAAATAATAAATGTAAAAAAAAATCATAATAAAAAAATCTTAAATATTGTAATTTTTATAAAATATTTTAGCAGTTTAATCCTCTTTATTTTATTTTCAGAAGGCAACTGCAGAATTGAGCAATATATATATATACATATATATATATATATATATATAGTAAATATAGTAAATTCCTCTCAGTATTTTTTAAGATTGTACACATTACATCTCAGGGGATAAAAGATAAATGTATTAAAGGATAAATGAAAGAATATTTGGATAAAACATAAGTGAAAATAAAGGATAAATAGGGATAAAAGATAAATTAAAAAATCCTGGTGATTTTATAATTGTTAGATTATAATAAAAATTCAGAATTCATTGTTTTTATTTACTGTGTGCTTATTTTTTCAATAATAAACTTTAGAGCTGACCAGTTTTGTATAAGCTGAAGCACATTTAAATGCATTAGCAGTTTAAATGATGCTTTTCAGGCCTTTGAAAGAGTAAAGAGAGACATAGTATACCTTTGGGTTTGGATGGAGAAGGAGGGGTCCCTTTTTCATCCCCCATGGCCCTCCTCCTTCTCTGGAGCACCATCTGAAGCTCCGCCTCCCCAACAGTACGGCTGAAGCGTTTTTTAGACTCCACCCTTCGAGGGCCAGGCCTCCTCGTGGAAACCTGAGGTGAACCAGCCAATAAAGTTACATTAATACAATAAGCCATGAGAGATCATGCATTTTACTGTGGTTACTTAAGAGGTGTTTTCCCTAAAACTACCTTAATTATGGTCAAATCTCTAACACACGGCCCTATTATAAAATGGATGCAAACAGTAATATGATGAAACATACCAATGTTTAATAAAAAAATAACAGTGACAGTTAACGCTAAAGACTGGAGTAATGATGTTGAAAATTCAGATTTGCATCACAGGAATAAATTAAAATGTAGAATATATTCAAATAGAATATAGTTATTTTAAATTGAAATAATATTTCACAATTTTTGACTACATTTTCGGTCAAATAAATGCAGTCTTGACGAGCACCTTATATGAAAGTATATGTACTCTGTATAGCCACCTAAGTATATTTTAATGTCAACCTTGCAAGCAGCTAGTCTGAGTAATAAAAGTAATCAGTAGTCAATATTTTAAGAGATCTTATTTTACCAGCATCCCTTGCAATTCCAGCACAGCTGATTTCCGATTCTCAGACCTCTGCTCCTGTAAATGTCAATAATTTCTGATTAATGATATTTTGTCATTTCTGAACAGTTACTTTCTGAACACATAATTCGCAAGCAATGTATAAAGTAGTTAGGCATGTCACTACACACACATGAAATAGTCTCACAGTCAGATAAAATAGGAAACCTCCACATACTTTAAAATGCAACAGTAATCATGCTTGCAGGAAGACCTGAAAGACCACAATAATGTGTAATTGTAAACTAAAAACCTATATGAAATAGTGCAGTATGACTAACCTTCCATGCATTTTCATCCTCTAACACAGCCTGAAATGAAAGCAAATGTCAAATATTTATTTCTGTTTAAACAGGCCTATATTTAAGGCATGTCTATAAGGTGTATTTTGCTATTTCATTAAAAGTGTTGTCCTACTGTGTGAATCATACGTGATGCGCACATGCTCATGGGATTTTTTCTGTCACACGTTCGATTATTTTCATACAGTGCTGGCGCCTCACTGTACAATTTATGTTCAGCAAAACATGTAATAATTCACCAGTGGCAGACCCACCTGTGGCGTTCTGAGAATAGGTTTGAGAATAATGCCTTTCTTGATTCTTTCCATCATTTCATCCACAGCTCTGGCCTTCATATCCTCCGTAATTGCGGGTTCTGTGAGAAAATCAACACAGTATTCATCGAGGATGGAAGAGCAGTGCTTGCGTTCTTTGATTTAACTTCAACTTTTAAATTATTGTATTGTTTCTTCCTGTCTGCCGTGTTGATTTTGCTTTTGACATAGTACAGGTCAGATGTAAGGTATGATTGTCTTACTCGCAGTTTGAGTGGCGCTGTTTTCTCCCTTCTTTCTGTTCCTCAAAGCCTTTAATGGGCTAAAAAATACAATGGGTTTAATTTTAATGAACTTTTGAAGACTTTGCATGTGTAGTGTATTTTTATGGTTGGAATATCTCAACATTTAAAGGTGCTGAAGACTCACTCAGTGACAGCTGAAGATGGAGGAGGAGGAGGAGGAGGAGGTGGTGCTGGCGGCACCAGTGATGGTGGATCAGCTGGATTTTCCTTTGCCTCATTCAGCTGGATAGATTGAATGGAAGGAAGTTGCTCCATCTCTTTCAGTTTATCCTTGAGCAGCTTGACTAGTTGCGAAATAAGTGATTAAAATTGCAATCAAAATATCATTCATTTTATAACAAAATAATATTTTCAGTGATGGCTCTTTCAAAGCTGGAAACATAATGGAGATCTCAAGCATGTTTAATGTAAGCATCGGCTTATATTACTCAAACTGTCTCTATTTCTCCTAAAACATCCATAAAATCCTAAGTAAATGCTATAAAATTAATGTAAAAAGCAGCTTTGTTCATTTGGTCTTAGAAGAGCATAATGAAAGATGTTGTATTTCATATGGAAACTTTGATTGCAGACTTGGCCAACATGAGGTTGAGACATTGTTGAAACGTCTTTTAGATGGACATGTCCGAGATCTTTTCTCAGAAGAAAAGTCTGAGAAGCAACTCATTGAGCTGAGACCTCATGTGTGCTTTGTCTTGCCTTTAAGGGCTCTTTTATATAATATACCCCCGGTTTCACAGACAAGGCTTAAGCCTAATCCTAAACTAAAATGTAAATCTGAGCTGTTTCAACTGAAAGAAACTTGCACTGACTGATCTTAAAACATGTCAGTGCCTTTGTTTTGTCTTAAGATGCACACCAGTAATGCTTTTTTCTAAGGCATGTTTATAAAAATTACTTAAATGTCCTAATTGAACTATGGCCTAATCCTGGCTAAGCCCTGTCTAAGAAACCGGGCCATAATGTCCTAACACTTTTTCAGCATCATAATCTACACTGTAAAAAAAAATCTGTAAAATCTACGGTAAAAAAATACGGTAGCAACGTTTTAGGTTTTACGGTTTTAACTTAAATTTACAGTTAAATACCGTAATTTCATTAACTGATATAATGTTAATATACCAACCTATTTTTGTTTTTTTAAATAAGACCTACTTTCCTCCTGAAGTGCAGTTACAGATTGTTTCGAGTCTCTCAGCTGAATCTCAGTCTCGCTCCTCTCTTTCTCACTCATCTCCAGCTTTGTTCTTACTGCAGCCAGATCCTGAGCTGCTGTCTGAGACATCTGTATAGACAGATACAATTAAAGCTGATTCACAATTAAAGCTACCTCCACAACTAAGTAATTATTTAATTATTATAATAATTATTTAAGTGTAAATAAAAAGTTTGGTACAAGTATAGTGCAAATAAAAATATCTATTACTTATTTACAGTTTTTTTTTTTTATTCACCGCATATAGACAAGAGATGAAGTAAAGAACAGGATAAACTGGATCAGGAAATGATGTGATAGATTCAAACGTTTTCCAACCACATAAGCATCACAATCTGAATACACCAGACCGACACATTCACCTGGTTTTGGTAATAGAGTCGTATCTCTTCCAGAGCTTTGCAGATTTCAGTCACTTGACTCAGAGCCTGTTGTAGTTGTTTCTCATTCTCTGCATTCTGAATCTGTCTCTGGGTTTCCTGCTGTTTCACCAGCATCTGTAGGGAAAAAACAATCACTTGATCAATCAGTCTATCAATCATCCATCTATCAATCCATCTATCACCACACCAAACTTCAAATCGCTCTTCAAATGTCCAAAGTTTTCAAACTACAGAAGGTCTAAATATACTTCAGAATATTTTTTTTTTTGACAAGCCAACATTCAAAGTTCATTTTAAAGACCTTTCCAACATTTTATTTTATTTGTTGAGCTAAGCGGGCATGTTAATTATTCATGCAGCGAATTATCCGAAAAATAAAAACAAAACCTCAATAGAATTAGTTCAGTTTGGGAAACCAAAAATCAAACCATCCATTATCTCCCTAAAATTTTAGATAGCAAGAAACGTACTTGTTGAAAAGCAGAAACGGCGAGCAGGAAAGGGAAGTGCAAGTTTGTCATGTATCGGGCTGTTTGGACTCTCACTTCTCACCTCCATTCACTGCCCTTACTTGTTGAAAAGCAGAAACGGCGAGCAGGAAAGGGAAGTGCAAGTTTGTCATGTGTCGGGCTGTTTGGACTCTCACTTCTCACCTCCATTCACTGCCCTTTCGTTCGGCTTGAAGAAGAGCAGACCTAAACCACCAAACGCGACCCCTGCGGAGGTGCAATTACAAGGAAAAGCGCATGTGCTTGACGAGTAAATGGGCGCCTCTCTTTGTGTGATGACGGCCTGTATTTTCTCCCTTTCGAATTAGTACGTCATTAGGCTCTCTGTGACTGGAAAAAAACACTGAACGTGAAAAAGATGAATATGTTTTCAAAACACAGGGAAAACAGACAAACAGAAGGGGTGGCGATAAAGAATGTCATTCAAGCTGTGTGGTGTGTGGCCACACATTCAGAATGAGTTTGAGTGGTGCGCGAACCGTCGGGGGTCCCTTTCACAGGTGAAGGCCCCCTGTTGGGACCCCCATTATGTCTGTGTCTGCAAATGGGGAACAATATACACAAAGCCGACAAAAAGGAAGTGTCAAACAAGGACAGGGGTTTAAAGAGCTGCCGATTTTCAAACTGCCATCTCGATGGGTGCTAATTACCGCAGGAAGAGACGAGGGATGCAAAGACAGATGCCACTTTTAAGCGGAGATGCTCATTTAGACTGAATGAGCGCTAAACCTACTGGTATTAACAGAGCCAGCTGGACTGGCATGATCAAAGAGTGTGTGTTATCTCAATCCAGTGTTTTCATTAATGCAGGTTCACAGCTGTGAGTGTGAATTGACCGGATCCAGCCCAAATCTCCCAAGGCCCTTGTACACACTTGAACCAGTTGGAGACACTGCACTTCCTCCCATCTACTGTCTATTGATTCAGATATTGTCATGTTGTCAGCCAGGGCATGTAGGCCTCTGAGCGAGAAGTGTGTTTTTATGTCCAGATTATTTCACTGAGCTGTTAGGTAACTATCATAAGATTATGTATCAGTATCTGTTATGTTTCTTGCCATTTTAACCATTTTTTTCTTTGTTGATTATTTAAAAAAAAATTTTTTTTATGTAAATAAAACTTTGAATTACCATTGAGTATGAAATGTGCTATACAAATGAACTGGTCCTGAATCTAAAAACTTGAATAAAGTCACATGTTAATGGAGTTAAGGTGCAGCCACATTTACCGGTGCTCGGTATAGTTGGGCAAACTTCGAGAGCATGGGAGAGTAGCCTACCACAAATATATTTTTTGCATCCCTATTTGATCAAATAGCAAAAGAAAAACTCCACTATAGTGTTTTCACGACTTTCAATCAAAGGAAAAAAATCGGAGAGACTGATAAGGGCAGTCAGAAGAGAGAACTATGTCAAATTTACCGTCCCTCCAATAGACACTGCATTAGAAACACCCTCGCATTAGTGTTAACTAGTTTTTTTGTAATTTGATGCAAAGGTGATAAGATACAAGGTATAGTGTTATAAATGTAGGCTACATACATAAAAAAAAAAAAAAAATCTAAATATCAAAAACTTTCGAGGATTTACGATGCTGATGACCGTTGAGTTGAAAATCGTGTCATTTTGTGTAATTTCGCTTGTGTTCAAGTTAAGCGCACCTTTAAATTGATTTTTACATAGGCCACTGGTAACCGGTAAAATGTCGAGTCGTTACTGATTTTTTCCACACAAAAAATATCAAATAATTTATCACAATAAACCTTAAAAACCGCGCGCTCTTTTGAAAGGTCCAATTCAAACACACTTCTGCAGCGCGTGAGCGTCAGTTGAAATTCGCCAAGCGTTTCTCTGTAAAACTACGGCTCCGGGATTTCCGCAACATTTTTCTCAATAACGGACATAAAGCTGTTATGGAGAGCGGTTATCACTGGGAATTATTAAAACTTTATCGTCATAAAACTTAATGTACTTGATGAAAGGCGATCGTATTTACATCCAAACGGAAATGAGTCCACACTGAACTGAGCCGAAAGTATATCGATAAACTACTCAAGTCAAGCGAATTCAGTCAGATTTACCAAATAAAGTGCTGTTTGTCTGCCTGTCACTGCATGTGGAACAGACAGACGTTCGTCAATGGGTGAGTAGTTCGCTCCATTATTGTTTGCCGCTTTATAAAACCCTATATTGTTAAATATAGTGTATTTCCAGTGTCTGTCTTTAACCTATGATTCCATTTATAGCGAAAAAATAAGCATTGTAGTCATTAAATATTGGCTTAGTTATGAATAAAGCACAACACTCTAGTTTGTTTTTGATCATGCGTCTTCACCGCGGTAAACTAGGCTCTGCGTCGTGAATGAATACGAGACAGACTGTGTAAAAGAGATAAACATAATGCTGGCAGACTAGAGTAGAAAGGCTTCGAGACATGTAGCAGTCCAATGTTTGCTTAATATCCTGTATATTGAACTGATCCCTGCCACTTTTGATATCCCATGAACCTCTGCGAGCGGTTGGTGGTTGCTTGAAAGAATAAAATGGCCTCTTAAAGGCATTTGAAAAGTAGTAAATTAATTCATAAGCGTCTGTCTTTAACCTATGATTCCATTTATAGTGAAAAAATAAGCATTGTAGTCATTAAATATTTGCTTAGTTATGAATAAAGCACAACACTCTAGTTTGTTTTTGATCATCAGTAGCAGAGTTTATGGTGTCTGAAATCAGTTTTCTTCATACAAAAAACGTGTAATTAAGTCAGTAACTACAGTTCTTCACACACAAAACCTGTCTGTTTTTCTATGATTTGTTTCCTTTATACTGTGCGCTCTGTATCAGATCTTTGATTCTTTTACGATCTTATGATGATTTTTAGGCACTGCAGTTAAAATGCTGTTGCTGCAAATTCCCAAAAAAAGTTTTTCTGCATTGTATTTTGGTACTCAAATCATCTGTTGACTACTCGCCATACTTTACACCTAAACTGCATGGAGTCATTGCACATGATATTTCATAACATTGTGTTTGGCTTTGATGTTGAAAAAAATGTAATTATTTTACGAGGTGGCAAATAATGTGTTTCATACGGAAACAAATAATTTTTAGAAAAAAGCAAACGTGAATGTCCACCCCTAAACCTAACCATCAGTGGGGACGTAAGCAGATTGTACAAAAACTTAAGAATAAGATTGTTGCCATGAGATTGTGTTGGACCTCATATGTCAGAGCGTCCTAAACTTGTACATGCTCAAACGGTTAACGTTTATGGCTTTGTTCACACATAATACAGAACTTTTCACAGCAATGTTCTCAAGTCAGCAAACTTGAGCAGTAGCTGGTTTTGGGCATTTTGACTACTAAACAAAAACAACTGTTACATTTGCAGTAGGGCTGGACAATAATTCAATATCAATATGTATCGCGATATAATTTTTTTCAATAACGGTGATATGATTTTTAAACACATTTCCGATATTTCGATATACATTACCAGTTTCCCATACATTGATTTATAATATGATAACACAGCGCGGGTGTTTTATATGAATGTATCTCTGAAGGGAACCGACTGTCTTCAGAAATATTCCTGTGATCATACATAGGTAAATTTTCAGCATCATTACTCCAGTCTTCAGTGTCACATGATCCTTCAGAAATCATTCTAATTTGATTATCAATATTTAAAACAGTTGAGTACATTTTTTTTCAGGATTCTTTGATGAATAGAAAGATCTAAAGATCAGCATTTATCTGAAATAAAAAGCTTTTGTAACATTATACACTATTCCATTCAGTATAATTTTTATAATTTTTTGGGGAAAGAAATTATAGAGATTAATACTTTTATTTAGCAAGGATGCTTAAAATTGATCAAAAGTGATGATAAAGGCATTTATAATGTTACAAAAGATTTCCATTTCAGATAAATAGTGTTCATATCGATATCAGAATTATATCGTATCGACCGAAATTAAGAAATATATCGTGATATCAATTTTGGCCATATCGTCCAGCCCTAATTTGCAGATAATGCGGTGTGAGTGAAAGCACCTATTCAAAAGAGTACCTGGTGTGCAAACACTTCGGCATGCTGCCTGAGTCCTTGCTCCATTTCGAGCTTCTGAGACATCTCTGTAAATTCTTCTGTAACCAGCTGGGAGACTGGAGCACGAACATACAGAGAAACTACCATGAATCTTTTGATCTGAGGGTGCTCATTAATGGTAGAATATATTCAGCTGACTCGCCTCTCTTCATTTTATTCACAGTCCTGCTCTGCTTGCTGAGCTTCCTCAGAAGGGCCTCTTTCTCTTCGACCTCCAACACCAACTTATGAATAGAATAAGAGTTTGAAGTTGAATAAAATTCAATGTTTTAGAATTTTAACCTACATATAATGAAAGTAGAGCACTGACGAGACCCATAAAGATCCCTATATTGAAGAAACACTGTTAATAGTTGCCATTACCATTTTGGGGTAAAGCGTTAATTGTTTTGCCAGAAATTATGACCACAACTGTATGCATGTCTCATATGCAGACACTAGGCCATTATACCTTGTCCTTCAAATCTTCCTTCTCTTTCTTAAGAAGCTCCACCTGTGCAGTGAGTTGAATTTTTTCTCCAAGTAATCGGTCTACAGATGACTGTATTTCTGTACAAAAAGATTGCAGAAAAAAAAAATGAGCCAAAATCTTCACTTTCTCTATTCTTGGACAGGTTTATAGAAATGTATATTTTTGCTTTCAAGGCTTGTGTTATTTATAAATTAGGCTACCTCTAATTTGATTCTGACTCATGAGAAGCGGATCTTCACTGCTCTCTTCCTCAGAGACCGTTTCAGGGCTGGGATCAGCCTCGGGGTCCAGGTTTAGGATAGAGAAATTTTCTGGCATTTCTGGAATCAGGGGAAGTATGGCTTGGCTTTGCCTCTTTAATGCCTTGAAATCTTTATTCACCTGTGGGTTCAAAAGTCTCAAAGATTGAGAAAGGGTGGCATGATGACTTTTACCAATATCAGCCTCAATATCACTTGCCCCTTTATTTATTAATCCAATACGAACAATATACTATATAATTTTAAAGGTGAACAGTGTATGGCACCATTGGCCAGGCCCATAATATGCCCTTGAGTTGAACTCACTCTTAAATCAAGACTCCAGCAATGCCATTGTAGAACCATTTTTGGTTCCCTAAAGAGCCTTTAAGTGTAAGCAGTTCTTAAAATAAGCATTTTTTCTTACTGCAAAGAATTTAAAAATCAATCATTTTCAAATAAAAAAATTAAAAATCAATTTAAAAAATCAAAATAAACTTTTTCCACAAAAAAAAAAGAACCTTTTGTGGAATGGAAAGGTTCCATGGATGTTAAAGGAATAGATAAACTGACAGTTTGGTAAAAATGTACATACCCTCAGGCCATCAAAGATGAGTTTGTTTCTTCATGGAAACGTAGGAGAAATGTAGCAGTACATCACTTGCTCACCAGTGGATCCTCTGCAGTGAATGGGTGCCGTCAGAATGAGGGCGGATAAAAGCTGATAAAAAATCACAATCCACAAGTAATCCACACCACTCCAGTCCATCAATTAAGGTCTTGTGAAGCAAAAGGCTGTGTATTTGTAAGAAACAAATCCATCCTTCAAGACATTTTTAACTTCAAACTGCTGCTTCCGGGTAAAATCTGAGTCCACTATTAATAATATTGCTTTTTCCAGTGAAAACGTCATCTCGTCTGAATCAGGAGAGAAATATGCACAAATCAAGCACCTTTTATAAGCCAAAGTAGTCCAAAGCAGCTCTAAACAAACACGTGCTTGGATTTTAATGTGAGAGGACAACAAGGGATGGACTTTTCACTGCGGAACCGTCATTATGGATTGTGGACTTGTATTTTGGCCAGACTCAAATTATTAAAGTTAAAATGCTTTAATGGTTGATTTGTTTCTCACAAACATGTAGTTTTTCACTTCACAAGACATTAATTGATGGACTGGAGTGGTGTGGATTACTTGTGGATTATTGTGATGTTTTTATCAGCTGTTTGGACTCTCATTCTGACGGCAGCCATTCACTGCAGAGCATCCATTGGTGAGCAAGTGATGTAATGCAAAATTTCTTCAAATCTGTTATGACGAAGAAACAAATTCATCTACATCTTGGATGGCCTGAGAGAGAGAGTAAAGTTTTTGCAAATTAAAAATTTTGGGTGAACTATTCCTTTAAAGGTTCTTCATGGAATCATGCCAATAAAAAGACTTATTTTTTTAGAGTGTTGGATTAATGACTCAGTTTGGAGAAAGTCATAGCTTGTAATCAATATAGGGATGTGAAATAATCAACAGAACAAATACAAGCCGTTAGACTTGTGAGAAAAGAGAAGTGTTCCTACCTTCAGTGCAAAGGACTCTGCGGTCTCCCTGCACGATCGCTCAATCTGAAACTGCATCTCTAACACATCCAGCTCCTTGAGCAGTTGAGCAGACGCTGAAAGTAGTTACATAAATCACGTTTGCACATTTTCAGTGACTCTTTAAGTAGTTTGTTGCACAGTTATTCCAAGGTTTAGCCAGTGATAGTTAAGTTCTTTGTAAGCCTTTCATAGTGAGACTCTTAAATGAGTTGCAATATGAGGATATTGCAATTCCAAAAGACTCCCACTAATATCTCACCCTCCTCCATCCTTGACAGCTTTTCATTCGCCTCATCTCGCTCTTTCTCCAGAATCTCGCACTGTAGAGCAGATTGAACACAATATATAAAACTTCATTGCACAATAAGTGGGCGAAGTACTTAAGCAAGTTTTTTGTTGTTGTTGCTGCAAAAAATCATTGCATACTAGCATAACAGGACAGATTTTGAATCATTATGTGCAACTTCATATTGTTTTCGAGGATCTCACAATTGCAAATTAATTTCTCATATTGCATCTTGTAGTTGTGACAAGAGGAGGCCTCCAAAGAGGTTGATTTGATTCTCGTCCATATAGCTCTTACTATTTCTATAATATGCATTAAGAATATTGTACAAAGCAGATTTTTTTGCATTAGCAGATGACCAAAATGTGTGGCATTCAGTAGAGCTCATTGTGTAGATGATCATATCATAAATGTTTAAAACACTTATCAATACATGCTGCATGCTGTTTTACATACTTTTTTTTTTTTTTATAATGTACACTAAGAAGTGCTCTCTAATGCCATTCGCAGAAATTACCTCAATGTCTATTTCATCTTCTGAAGACAGGGTGTTCTCCTCTTCAGAATCTAAAAGGCAACAGCTGAAGTTTTCAGGTTGTTCATCTGTTTCATACACTATATTTACAGTATTAATAAAAGGCAGCCATGTTTTTGTATGACCATTTGTTTTTATTATCCAGTAGACTAAAAACAATTTTGAGAGTTTGAATGTTTAGGCAAATTTTAAAGCGAGAAAAAAAGTGAATGTATCCAACCTGAAATTCTTTCGTCTGTTTGAAGATTCCACATAATTTCTCAAGCTTCTTTTTACCATCTGCTCTTCTAGATCCCTCTGTTTCTGCGTCTGTCACTCTCTGTTTGACAGTGCACTCGGGAAGAAGAACTGAAACTGACTTCAGTGTACAGCTATGCTTATTATTATTCCGTGTAGATGATCATATCATAAATGTTTAAAACACTTATCAATACATGCTGCATGCTGTTTTACATACTATTTTTTTTTTAATAATGTACACTAAGAAGTGCTCTCTAATGCCATTCGCAGAAATTACCTCAATGTCTATTTCATCTTCTGAAGACAGGGTGTTCTCCTCTTCAGAATCTAAAAGGCAACAGCTGAAGTTTTCAGGTTGTTCATCTGTTTCATACACTATATTTACAGTATTAATAAAAGGCAGCCATGTTTTTGTATGACCATTTGTTTTTATTATCCAGTAGACTAAAAACAATTTTGAGAGTTTGAATGTTTAGGCAAATTTTAAAGCGAGAAAAAAAGTGAATGTATCCAACCTGAAATTCTTTCGTCTGTTTGAAGATTCCACATAATTTCTCAAGCTTCTTTTTACCATCTGCTCTTCTAGATCCCTCTGTTTCTGCGTCTGTCACTCTCTGTTTGACAGTGCACTCGGGAAGAAGAACTGAAACTGACTTCAGTGTACAGCTATGCTTATTATTATTCCCATTTTGTTACGTAAATTGATACAAAAGTTAATTCTACTTTGCCCTTTATGGTTAACTGAGTCATCAATGACTATTTAGAAAGGATGTGATAAAGTAACAATCATCATTTGTCGGTAGATGTGCTCAGCCCTTGTGAAAACATGGGCAGCCTTGGTTTAGTGACAGTGTTATCTGAACAAATGATTAAAAGCTATTTTAAAGCAAAATACATTTGATGATTATTTGACTTTTGCACTTGCAGTTTCCTGAAATGGTTGAATTTTACAGTGTACACTCTAAAAAATGCTGGGTTAAAAACAACCCAACTTGGGTTATTTCGCAAACCCGGTGCTGGGTAAATATTGGACAGAACACATGCTGGGTTATTTTGACCCAGCTGGTTGGGTTAAACGTTTTTACCCACCATGCTGGGTTGTTTAATTTAAGTCATCTATTGTTTAAAATTATTATATTGCTGGCTTAAAATGGGCTGGGAATTACTATAGGCAACAGCAATAATCAAAAGATGAATATGTATTATTAAGCAAGAACACCCATGGACAAAATACAAGACGAATTTATTTGGGTGAATACAGCATAGTTTACAATATTACATACATTTAAACTCATTTAACAAGCATTTTGGAAATAAAAAAGGTGCATTTAAAAGTAGCATTTTAATTTAAGTGTATTCAACCGTTCTCTGTAATCGCTTTTTACCGAAATAGTGCTAATTTGCGTGCCGGTGTGTCGCCGAAATCTAAGCCGGTGAAGGGCTGCTGTTCGCTGGGGGAACTATGAACTTCAGACCGCAGCCTTGCATCTCACTCGTAGCTGTAAGATGCCGTGACTCCATAACCTGCCCATAAACAAACAGTACTGAGATTAGAGAACATTTTAACATCAAATTAAACTAATTATAACAAATAAAATCCATTTTTGTTATGCAAGGCAAAAGGCATTTCCATCGTGTGAAACGACCGCCGCTGACGCAGCTGTCTGACACCTTGTCCTTATGTTGCGTTGCGTAAAATAATACAATTTACAGAACAGTAAAGACTTTATAAATGAAATAAAATGTATACAAACCTTTATTTCGCTGAAGAA